GACAGGGAAGTGCTCTTCCTTTCACAATTGCGCTTCCTCACTGCTGCTGATACTGGCAACTGATCTCCACTAAAATTAAATCATCCCTGATGTGAGCACATCAGTTTTCATTGTGGTGTGTGACCCCTTCAGAACACTGCTTTAATTATGTTGTGTGTGAAAATTAGCATCAAACGAATGACATAAGGTGAGTGCTGGTCCTCCTGCTCTTCCTTGCAGCAGATTTCTGTCAGTCAGCAGGCAGCTGGATGTACCGTCCTTCCCCTCCCACCACACACACCATTCCAGCCATGGCTTTTCTTTAGGTCTTTGTTCTTTATGGAAAAATCAAGACTGAATTCGAGGGGAGCTAAGTAGGGTTTTCAAGATGATGAAAGATTTTAAAGAAGTGATGTATGTTAATTGTTTCTTGTGAATATTCAGACATATCTGTAAATGAGAGTGTTAGAGACTTTACGATTAATTGAACATTTGAAATGAAACAGAGTGGTTGAGGGCTTATGGTAGTGGCCTTGGAGCAATGGGATTGGAGCACGCACAGAGGTGGTGAGAGGATTGGGGGACACAGGGAGGTGCTGAAGGGATTGGGAGCACAGGGCCGTGGTGAGGGGCTAAATAGAGGACATGGGAAGGGAAGGGGTTTGGATGGAACCGTGTAGGAATGGGGCCACGCAGGGAGGAGGTGCCATAGGGATGGGTCAAACAAGAACGGCCAGTCATTCTGTGGTCAAAGGTCCGTTAATAGTCAGCCACATTGCTGTAGGTCTAGAGTCACAGGCTAGACCATGGAGCAACAATGGTGAGCCAGTTGAATTCTTATGACGATCACTGATGGTCTCAGAAATGGTGACCATGAAACTAACTTTTAAATCCATACAGATTCACTGAATTTGATCTCCATAAACTACAATCAGGAGACCTGTCCCTACAGACAATACTAGATTGTGCATTGTGTAATGAGAAAGGAATAACTGGCATTCTAGATGTGCAAGGCTGGATGGAGATGAGCGACCATTATATGATAGAATTCCTTATTAAGATGGAGAGTGAGGTAGTTGATTCTGAAACTAGGGTCTTGAATCTAAACAGAGGAAACTGTGATGGTATGAGGCATGAGTTGGCTATGATCAATTGGTACACATTATTTTGTTGGACAGGTAAGGATAGACATTCAAAGAGTGCATGGGTGAACTGCAACCATTGTTAATTCCTATTTGGCACAAAAATAAAATGGAAAAGGTTGCCAAATCAAGGCTTACAAGGGAAATTAGCAATGGTATTTAGATCCAAGGAAGAGGCATACACATTTACCAGAAAAAAACAGACCTGAGGAGAAGGAGCATTTTAGAATTCAGCAAAGGAGGACAAAGGAATTGATTTAAAACAGAAAATAGAGAACAAGAGTAAGCTTATACATCGATTATAAATGTTTCTATAAGTATGTGAAGAGAAAATGATTGGTGAAAGCAAATAACCCTTACAGTCAGAAACAGGGGAGTTTATAATGGGGAGCAAAGAAATGGCTGACCGACTAAATATATAATTTGGTCTGTGCACACAAAGGAGGATGCAGATAATGTACCAGAAATGTTGGCGAGCACAGGGTTTAGTGAGAGGAAGGAACAGAGGGAAACCTATTCCAGCAGAGATATTGGTGTTTGGAAAATTGATGGGTCAATAAATTGAAGGCCAGTAAATCCCTAGGGCCTGATAATCTACATCCCAGAATACTTAAGGAAGTGGCTCTCGAAATGGTTGATGCATTGGTGGTTATCTTCCCAAGTTTTTGGAACAGTTCATTGAGACTGGAGTGTAATTAATGTAACCCCTCTAATTGAAAAGGGAGGCAGAGAGAAAACTGTGATTTATAAGCCAGTCAACTTGATGTCAATAGTGGGAAAATGCTTGAGTCTATTATAAAAGAAATAGCAGAGCACTGGAAAGCAGTGGCAGGATCAGATGGAGTCAGCAAGGATTTATGAGAGGTAGTTTGTGCTTGACAGATCTTGTAAGCTTCTTTGAGAATGTAACTTCGAGTTAATAACATGATGCCAGTGGATGTGGTTTATTTAGATTTTGGGACTTTGACAAAAGCCTACCGATGGAAGAGATTCATGTATATATTTAATGCACATGGGATTGGGGTACTCGATTGAGATAGACAGAAAATTGATTGACCGGAAATAGAGTTGGAATAAGTAGGTCTTTCTGAATGGCAGACAGTGATTAATGGGATACTGCAGGAATCAGTGCAGTGTATTAATGATTTAGGTGACATGGCTAAGTGTAATGTCTCCAAATTTGCAAAGACAAAGCTGGGTGGGAGGATGAGCTGAGAGGCCATTCTTCATTGTGTTCTGGACAGGCTGAGTGAGTGGGCAACTGCATGGCTGATGCAGTATAATGTGGATAAATGTGAAGTTATCCACTTTGGGAGCAAAAACAGGACGGTGGATTATTATCTGGCTATAAATTGATGGAGGAGAATATGCAATGAGATCTGGGTAGGCTGGGACACCAGTGTTGAAAGTAAGCGTGCAGATACAGCGGGCAATGAAGAATGCAAATTTTATGTTGATCTTAACAGCAAGAAGATTCGAGTACAGGAGCAGGGGTGACTTGCTGCAATTATTCAGGGCCTTGGTGGGACCACACCTGGAATATTGGGTGCAGTTTTGGTCTGCTTATTTGAGGAAGATGTTCTTGCAGTAGAGGGAGTGTAGCAAAAGGTTTACCAGATTGATTTCTCATGATTGTGGGATTGACGTATGAGGAGAGATTAGAGTATAAAATACAGAAATAGAATTAGGCCATTCAGCTCATTGAGTCTGCTTCAAACATTGCTGATGTGTTTCTCAACCTCATTCTCCTGCCTTCTCCCCATAACACTTGATCCCTTTACCAATCAAGAACCTATCTATGTCTGTCTTAAATGCACTCAATAACTTGGCCTCCACAGCCTTCTCAGTTCTCAAAGGTCATCCCTTCACTCTGAAGCTGTGCCCTTGGGACCTAGTGTCCCCTGCTAGTGGAAAAAACATCTCCATATCCACTCTTTTCCAGATCCCTCCGTATTCTCTAAGTTTTGATGAGATCCTGCTCCCCCACCATCCATCCTTCTAAATTCCATCGCGTATAGACCCAGAATCCACAACCGCTCTTCATATGACATGCCCTTCATCCCCAGGGTCATTCTTGTAAACCTCCTCTGACCTGCTCCAGCGCCAGCGCCAGCCCATCCTTCCTTAACTACGGGGCCCAAAACAATATTCGAAATGTGGTCTGACCAGAGCCTTGTACAGCCCCAGGAGTACATCTCCGCTCTTGTATTCTAGCCCTCTTGAAATGAATGCTAACATTGCATTTGCCTTCCAAACTCCCAACTGAACCTGCACATTAACCTGAAGAGAATCCTGAACTAAGACTCTAAAGTCATTTGTGCTTCTGGTTTCTGAAGCCTTTCCCCATTTAGAAAATAGTTTATGCCTCTGTTCTTTCTACTAAAGTGCATAACCTCACATTCTGCCATGCTGTATTCCATCTGCTGCTGCTTTGCCCGCTCTCCTAGCTTGTATAAGTCCTTTTGCAGCCTCCCCATTTCCTCAACACTCAATCCATATAAGTTCCTCCATTCGGATCATTAATGTATAATGTGAATAGTTTTGGTCCCAGTACTGACGCCTATGGAACTCCACTAGTCACCGGCTGCCATCCTAAAAACGCTCCTTTATCCCCACTCTGCTTTCTGCCAGTCAGCCAGTTCTCTATCCATATAACTGCCTTGTCCCTAACAACATGGGCTGTTATTTTTTTATTTAGCAGCCTCCTGTGCAGCACCTTGTCAGAGGCCTTTTAGAAATTTAAATAGATCATGTCCACAGGCTCTCCTTTATCTCACTTTCTCGTTACCTTCTCAAAGCATTCTAACAGATATGTCAGGCATGACCTCCCCAAGGTGAAGCTGCATTGATTCAGCCCTCTTTTACCCTGCACTTCCAAGTATGTGATTGAATCGGTTTAGCTTATATTTGCTGGAGTTCAGAAGAATGAGGAGTATTTCATAGAAACCAATTAAATCGTAACAGGACTAGACAGGGTAGATGCAAGAAGAATATTTCTGATGACCAGGGAGTCTAGAACCAAGGGCCAATCTAAAGATATGAGTAAATCAATTTAGGATTGAGCTGAGGAGAAATTTCTCCATGCAGAATAGTGAGCCTGTGGAATTTGCTACCACAGAAAGTAGTCATGGTCAAAACAATTCCTTATTTTGAAAAGGGGGTTGGAAATAGCACTTGGGGTAAAGGGATCAAAGGATATGAGAGAAAAGCAAGAACAGGCTATTGAGTTGGAAGGTCAGCTGTGATCATAATGAATGGTACAGCAGGCTCGAGGGGTCAAATAGCCTACTCTTGTTCCTAATTTCTTTGTTTCTATCTGAGAAAATCACTATCTTCAGCAGTTGCTGTAAGCGGTGACTTTTAATTGATAAATCAGAGAAATTTTATAAGTGAACAAGTCATCCTGTGCCCCTTACAAACCAATGGAAATAGCTGGAAAAAATGGCGACCAAAAAAACAGCATTGCGACCAATCCTCTCAGGATTCACGGAACTGCCTTGCGATTTATCTTTCTCTGTCCATAACACCCATGCTTTTCCTGTCATTGTTTTTCTGTCTGTGCGTAAGGAGGAGTTTATAAGAGAATTAGTTTTAGTCATTCTATGCCAACTTATTCATAACTATTTACTTGTAGCTAAGTCTAATTACTTGTTGTTTAAGCACCTACGGGGGCAACACAAGTCTAATTACTTGTAAGAAATCATGATAAATCTGTTCTGTGCATTTTGTCAACCTGGGTCTGAAATTTTTTTAAAAACTTTACCTTTTGTGACAGCTCTGGGAATAGCAGTACTACCCCAGTGAGGCAGAGCAAAGTTTGAGAGGTAACCAAATGTTGTTCCAATGAGTTTACTTTGGTTCTGTTTCTTTCTGGTCCAGTGATTGAGGAGCCCCTATACCTCCGGCGGCGTCGGATGCTCAGTACTGGTTTCATGTACAGTCCTTGGAAATCTGCCTTCATGCGGCAGCATAAGATCGACACAAACTGGCGTTCTGGAGAGATAAAACCTCCAAAGGTAAGACCAGAGTCCCTGGTCTAGCAGTTTGACATAGGATTTGCAGCATGCTGACCCAGTGAAAAGGTGGAGAATGTAACACAAACTTATCCTTAGCCTTTTAATCTGGATTGTTTAAACTGATGGATCCAGTTTATAAACACTGAGGAAATGCCCAGATCTCTGTTGCTAGCTGAGGCATTGAAACACAATCGAAGGTGAGGGATGTTGACGTGAGATTTAGAGACAACCTTGATGTGTTAAGCTTCTTAATCACTCCTGTGACAGGAATGTTGGAACATCATAAAGCAGGAGTTAGCTGCAAAGGTTCTTGAGCCTACTGTGCTATTCATTTAAATAATGTTGCATTATTTGTTCACAAATCCATTTTTGTGCCCATTCCTTTTATCCCTTGATTTCCAGAGTGCAAAAATACATTGATCTTTGCCTTGAACATATTTGCTTTGGGGTTGAGAGTTCTGAAGATTAATAGTTCTGAGTGCAGTAAGCTTTTCTGTTGTCAGTCCGGAATGGCCAGGTGCTCAATATGGTACTATTCCTCACACTTATTGACGCTACAAGTGCAGGAAACAGCACAGATGCCAAGAGGCATGCTGTTTCAGTGTGATTACCTGTCATTCTTCTAAAGTCCCAAATCTCCACATGCATAGTCCCAACCATAATGTTATGTTGGTCTACAGCGTAGAAAAAGGCCCTTCAAGTTTCCACCAGTTTAAAAATAAACAAGCACCGAACTATTCTCCTTCCATTTCTCAGCATTTGGCCCATAACTTGTTTGTCTTGGCATTGCAGGTGCGCATCTAAATTCTTCAAAGTTACGAGGGTTTCTGTCTCGATCACCTTTAGAAGCAATGTGTTCCAGATTGCCACCACCCTCTGGTTGGGGAAAATATTGCCTCACATCACTCTAAACCACCTACCACTTAGCTTAAATCTATGCCCCTTGTTCATTATCCCTTCACCAAAGGGAAAATGTTCCTACCTGTCTGCCCTATGTATGCCTTTCAAATTTATGCATCTGAATCATGTCCCCTCCCAATCACATCTCTCTAAGGAAAACAACCCTAGTCCGTCCAGGCCTCCTCCGTAACTGAAACTGTCCAGTCCTGGCAACATCCTGGTAAATCCCCTCTGAACCCTGTCAACTGGATTTCAAAACTCTAGCTGTGATCTTACCAATAGTTTATACAGTTCCAGCATAACCACCTTGCTCTTAAACTCTGTGCCTCAGCTAATAAAGGCCAATATACCATATGCCACCTTAACCACTTGATCCATGTGTCCTGATACCTTAAGGGGCCCATGCAGATGCTTGATGCTTCCCAGGGTCCTACTGTTTATCATGTATTCCCTTGCCTTGTTTGTCCTGCCCTAGTGCATCACCTCACATTTATCCAATTGTATTCCATTTGACCAGCCTGTTGATATCCTCCTGTAATCTTAAGGCTATTTTCACTTTATATGACTGCATCAATGTTCGTATCATCCACAAATTTACTGATCAAACCTCCTTCATTCAAGTCTAAATCCCGTATATGTAGGCTGTTCCTGGGTAACGAATGTATTCAATTTGTCAAGTACATTCATAAGCTGACTTTTAAGCAAGCTGGAACGTGATACAGTAAAATATAAAACAGCCACTCGAAAGTACACACTTGTTGGATCTTTGAAATTTAATGCTAATAACACATTGTATGGGATCTCGCTCGTGAGTATGAGTGTTCATAAGTCTGATATTGCTAAATTGGGGACCATTGTACGCCACAAATAGCAAGGGCCCTAAAACGGATTCCTACAGAATCCCTCCGGGCACAGGCTTCCAGTCACAAAATCACCCCTTGGCAATCGTCCTCTGCTTTCTGCATTTCAGCCAATTCTGGATTCAGTTAGCCACACTTTTTGGAATCCTTGAATTGGTGTAGTTAGCTTTTGTTTGGATGACCCTGTAGAGATTGATACATTTTGTTTTCATTTGGCTTGAAGTTGTGGATAATGGTGTATTTAGCAACCTGCCTGAATTTCTCCAAGGGTGTGACAGTAAGACCTTTATTGCTTGGGGATTGGAGTTGAAAATAGACAAGAGTTACAATTGTACAGGCTGTTGGTGAGGCTACTCCTGGAGTGCTGTGAACAGTTCTCTGCCTTTCAAAGGGTACTGGCAATGGGGTTGATTCAAAAGAGATTCACTAGGCTGATTCCTGGGATGAAGTGTTTAACTTATCGAGAACATCAGAACGGGTTAGGCCTTTATTGAGCCTGAGTCGGTAAGTCAGCCACGATCATCATGAATGGCACAGCAGGCTTGAGAGGAAATATAGCCTCCCGAGTCTAATTCTTATGATCCTTCTCATTCAATCACTGCAATCTTTGAATGATTTGATATAATTGCACAATTAATGCTTTAAGTACCGGGTCAAGTGTGTTGTCTGTCACATGAATTGCATGTGCTTGGACTGGGCAGGCCTGCAAGGATGGCGTCGTACTAGTTGTGTGTTAGTGGTGAGCTTTCGTGGTTATTTTCTTGCACTAGGCCATGAATTGCCCACTTTATTGAATTCATTCCCATCTTGTTCCTAATGGAAAATTGAAAATTTTGATCTTTAGTTCGCTTATCTCCGTATCGCAACCAAAGAATTGAAAGCCATAAATGTAAATGATTGAGATAACTGTGTCCAAGCAAAAGGTGACCAGTGCAGATTTATCTTTCTCTTCCTGAGAGAACATGCAATTCTGATGTATTAACTAACATCAGTTCCTGTGCTGCTCATGGACAGTGATTCAGTGTAAAAGCTTTCAGACATTATGAAAATATACTATTTTACTACACCCCACCCCTGAAAGTTCACTGAGCCAAGTATGATGCGACACTGAACCATAAACCCATAATACGTGAAGTGACAAAGTTTTTATCTGGAAGCATTCTGCTTTCCTAACTCTGAGGCATTTCTGTATTGGCAGTTATCCTGCTTACTGACCAAAAGCCCACATTAAACTGGTGTATTGTAACTGAGTTGGAGGAGAGTGAGGCTTCCTGCTCCCGATCATTACAGCAGTCTTTTCTGCCAGAACATGAATTTCTGGGATTATTGGTTGAAAACAATTACCAAGCTGTTCATGATTGAAACGAACTGCTACGAGAGGCAAGTTGGTGAAAAATAGATAAACTGAGTTAATACTGGCAGCCTTTGGGAAATAGATCTCAGTACAGGGAGATTTTCAAATACGAAGTGAGGAATGGTAACAGGGAGAGAGAGCAGTGCTGTCTTAAAAAAGCGTGATGGACCAAGTGAGTACCATCTGCTTGTCAGTGTTTTCTCGAAGAGCTGCAGAGAAACCTGAGACTGAAGAGCAAGGGCTGGGAGCTGAATATTATGGCTATGAAGTTTTAATCTCCAAATTGACATGAAGGGCAGATAAAGATGTTGGAGTTGACTGCGTTGCAAAATTAAACAGCATTATTTACATTCTGAAGATATTTAATGTTTGCATTCCGTGTTAGTGCTGCTGACTGGTAAATAATCGTTTTGTTTGTGTTTTCAGGTGCTGAAAGGTCATGATGATCATGTCATCACTTGCCTGCAATTCTCAGGAAACCGGATTTTGAGTGGTTCAGATGACAACACTCTCAAAGTATGGTCCGCAATAACAGGCGAGGTATACATCCTGGTGTCTATCCGACTTCGCTCACAATCACCCCACCTGTGTGCCTCACCTTGTTTGCCCCAACCTCACCCCTCAAAAAACCCCAAATACTTGTCTGTCTGTATTGACTACTGCACACACACCCCTGCATGCCCCGACCCCAAAGTTTTGTCTGTCTTTTCCATTGCCACCTCCTGCTCATTATGTCACAGTTGAGTTGCTCAAGTCTACACGGGCTTTTTGCTAGTCTTCCAGATTTTCCCCTCAACAAGCGGAATTTTGAAACCCTGTTGCAATTTGACTGTTGTGTATGGATGGGATCTAGATGGGGGATCTCACCTTTTCATTACAGCCCAGTGATGTCCGTAGAATGAGGGAATTGTAAACCTGAAGCCACGTTGTACCTGCCCCTCTGTCCACAGCCTTGTGGTTTGAGCCAGTTTGTTAATCACCTCTTGTATTCTTCCAGTGTAGACTGTAGTCAGCCAATTGTTTAGGCACATGTACTGTTTCAGCAATCTACCTGTAACAAGGAAAGAATGAAGTGATTCTCTTTCTAACCCTGTAAAAAGAAACCTCCTTCCTACCCAATGGTCTGTTAACATGAGTTAAATGTTGGTCAAATTGTTGTGTGAAAGTCTTTCTGAATATTTGTTGAGGTGTAAGAGGATTAGGCAGGCAAACCTGAATGCAGAAAATTACCTTTAAGTTCCCTTGAAACAAAAATTAGGAGGATACTGTCGATCTCCCTGGCTGCGCCATTTGTACTCCACACACACAGATGAAATCCACCCAACCTCGAAACACAGTGCTCTCCAATCAGGCAGGAGAGGTTGAGGGATTGCACACAACTTAATGCTGTTCGCTGATCATAGTGAAGGGTGTGGTCAGTTGGAAGACTGGTGTGCAGACTCTGCGATATGTCTGTCTAATTTGCATGTTCAGATAAGTTGAACATGGAGATGAGACAGCATTATTTCCTTAACATAAATCATTTAACTGCTGTTGTAGTCCCATTCTGTCTACGTTGACTGAGTTAGAGATCTGCAGTTTAATTTCACTCTCCTGCTCTTGATTTCTCACCCTGTATGCTAACATGACAAGACATAGGAGCTGGTGTCGGTCATTCAGCTCTTTTAGGTACAGCATTTGTTTTTATCGATGTGACAAAGTTTTCTGCCTCTTCACCCTTTCAGGAAGTGTTCTAGAGCCCCACTATGCTGTGGGTGAGGGGAAAAAAAACTCAACTCTCCTTCTGCAGTTAGCAAAATTCATGCACACCCCAATCATTTCTGTGTAAATTGGATGTTTCGCTCTACCAGCGAGTAGTGTATTTTGCGAGGTACTGTGGCCTGGTTCATGTGAGCCATGATTTAAAAACCCTGTTTATAAATACAAGGCTGTTTCTTTGGTTGAGATTTTCTGCCATTCTGTTCTTGATTGTTTTTAGACCCTCCATTCATTTATTTGTTTTGCAGTGTGTGCAGACGCTGGTCGGACACACAGGTGGAGTTTGGTCCTCCCAGATGAGAGGGAATATCGTTATCAGTGGCTCAACAGACCGTACCCTGAAAGTATGGAACGCAGAAACGGGTGAATGTATTCACACGCTTTACGGGCATGCCTCCACTGTACGCTGCATGCATCTCCATGGCAACAAGTAAGGCAACATCTGGATAAATGGTACACAAAGCAATCTCATATGTAATGCCTGAATAGAAATGTGATGTTGAATGGTGGTACTTGCCAGGTTAAGGGGCATTGCCAGCTATTCAGCTAGAGTAGCCTGTGCTAATCCCTTTCTCAGACCTTTTTACATTCCTGCCCTGCAAACCATTTAACCTTCCAGGCTCTGACTTTGAAACTTGCGAAATCATCCCTCTAATTTCACCTTTCATTCTTCTAATGATCCTCAGTATTGTGTCCCTCCCCACTACCAATTCACTAACCTGTCTAAATGATCTTTTGCCAGTTGTCCTTTTTAAAACCTTTCATAGATTTAAAAATATTTGTGAAATCGCACATCCCAACTCTTGTAATCAGACTAGCAACTCATATAATCCCCTTAACCAGCACCTTCCAAACCCACAACCACTTCCATCTAGAAGGACGTGGGTAGCATATACATGGGAACACCGCCAACTGTGAGTTCTCCTTCAAGCCACTCATCATCCTGACTTGGAAATATATTGCTATTCCTTCACTGTTTGTTGGGTCAAAATCCTGGAATTCTGTCCGTCATGATACTGTGGGTCTACCTACATGGACTGCAGCAGTTCAAAAAGGCAGCTCACCAACAGCTTCTCGAGCAACTAAGGATGGATAATAAATGTCGCCCAGCCAATGACATCCATGTCCCCAGAAAGAATTAAAAAAAACCTGGTCCCATTTTTTAAAAAAAGTCCCTTTTTGTATTAAGATAGGTTTGTAAAATATTAATCTGTAATGTTGTTTCTTTGAGGGGTTTGGCGTTGAGTGAAATGTCACTTGTATGTCAGAGAAAACAGTCGACCTGCTGTCATAAGATGTAGAATGGTGTAATAAGAAAGGAGGATATTCCAACCTTGGACCTAAAGTAGCTTCTATCCAATTAGTGCCCCACAACTTTTTATGTATGTATTCAGTTGCCTTTCAAAAGTTTTATATTAAATCATCTTTTAGGCAACATATTTCATGTCATACAGTGTTTTGTTTCAAAAGCTCCCCATGTTTATTTTGCCACTTACCTTAAATGTCTGTCCCTGTGGTTACTGACCTTCCTGCAAATGGAAAAATACTATCTCTGTATTTTCTGTGACGTGATGATTTTGAACACCTCTTAAGTCTCGCCTTCACCATCTATACTTGTAGGAAGGTGCTACCTTCACACTCTATGCAGCAATGAAGAAACTCAGTCCTGCTATCCTTCTGGTAAATAAATTTCCCCTTGCTTTCTCCTCTCTTCAGTTCCCTCCCAAGCAAAATAAAGCCTAACATATTAGTTGTATTAAAATGTTTTGAGATTTGCAAGAAGCTGGTGCCTGGAGGCTATCTGTATATATGCTTTTGATTGAATAGTTGGACATGAGGTCCTGAAAGCTGCATCCTTCCAGTTTCTCGATTAAAATGTATTACATAAACACTTAATGTGGTTTTTTGCTTCTAATCAAAATATTCCTTTCAACTGAGTCAATGTTGAAAGCTAAAAGCTGTGTTCTGGGAGGTGATATTGATCTGATGTCAAGCCTCCCAGACAGTTGTGTCTCAATCTATCCTGCTGACTTTTACCACACAACCCAGTGTTTGTTTCCTGTTTGTTTTATCTGTGGACCAAGGAAAGGAACCTTTGAATCCAAGTCGCCTGTTTGTCTCTCCTTAAGCTGGCACTTGAAACACATTAAAGTCATAGAGTCGTAGAGGTCAACAGCACAGAAAAAGGTCCTTCAGCCTATTAAGTCTGTGCTGGTCAAAAGCAACCACCTAACTATTCTAATCCCATTTTCAAACACTTGGCCCGTAGCTTTGTATGCCTTAGCATAGCAAGTGTACATCTAAATACTTCAGAGTAATGAGAGTTTCTGCCTTGAGCAGCCTTACAGGCATCCTCTGTAATCCACTACAAAGCTGAAATGTGAGCTCATTTCATAAATGTAAAGCTACTTTAGCAGTGATATTGCTGTAAAACAAATGCTCTGTGTGGTTCTGTCAGTGGAAAAGCTGAGTGACTGTAGTTAGGACCAAGGTGGCAGAAAGCACTGTCTCTCTCATCTTGCTACCCCATGGGTCGCAACATCATCCAAAAATACTTCCTCAACTTACTGAGATGACCAATTAAATACCTTATCCAAATCTGTTTTTAAGAAGCAAAAATCTATCAACTCGGTCTCAGGTACGGTCATTGATTTGCTATCAATATAAAACTTAGTTCAATAAAGTTTCAATAATTGGATACTGTACAGTCAGTAATGCAGGATTATAGCTGGTTATCCCTTTTAGTCTCCCCAAAACAAACACAAATATGTATGCACTTTGCAGGAAAAAGAGAAAAAAGGACTTTCATACAAGTTTTTCTGGGGAAAAAAACCTTTTTGCCCAGTGGGTTATTCTTGAAAATGAAAGGGATAAAGCTTGAACTGTTTGAGTCTGTTGCTTACATATTCTGGCTGATGTGAAGTTACATCACACACCATTCTTGCAAACACAGCTTGCTCAGAAAACATTGTTGAGATTTTTCTTTGATCACTTTGAAAACCATGAATAGGTTTTGTCTGAACTCCACAAGACGGTTTTCTGTGTAGAAATGAGGAAGATCAGCTAGACAACTTGTTCTTGGGTTTTGCTTCAACTCAGGTTGTTCTTGAGCTTCCATCCAACTGAACCAGATGACACAAACATGTCTCTAGGCCAATCATTGTTTAAAGCAGTTCCAGCAGAATCTATAGCCAAGCACGTATCACCAGTCATGTGAATATACAGGCAGCTTTTTTAAAAAAAAAATTCCATTGTTCCCTTAACTTTGGAAGAACTGTCCAAGCTTGGTGTAAAACAATTTTCCACAATCCTAAATAGCTGAAGCCTTCCAAGCAATATTAGATATAAAACAAGTTTGTAGCACTATCTTTGACATCACAGGAACAGTTGACTAAGCTTGCCATCAAGAGACTGAGCAAAACTGGAGTAATTGAGAATCAGGGGGTGTGCATGGGTTGCAGTCATATTGAACACAAAAGTCAATTGTCCCCACTCCAGGACATCTCTGCAAGGGTTCCTCGGGACTAAGCACCAACCATCTTCAGCTGCTTCATCAATGACCTTCCCTCCATCATAGGGTCAAAAGTGGGGATGTTCACTTGATGATTGAACAATGTTCAGCACTATTCGCAACTCCTCAGGTACTGAAGTAGTCTGTGATCAAATATCACAAGATGTGGCCTGTATCCAGCCTTGGGCTGATAAGTGGCAAGTAACATTCGTGCCACACAAATGCCAGGCTGTTACCATCACTGGATCCTCCAGTATCAACATCCTGGGGGTTACCATTGACCAGAAGTTCAACTGGACTCACCACATAAACACAGTGGTTACAAGAGCAGGTCAGAGGCTAGGAATGCTGCAGCGAGTAACTCACCTGCTTACTCGGCAAAGCCTGTCCACTATCTACAAGGCACAAGTCATGAGTGTGATGGAATACTCTGCACTTGCCTGGATGAGTGCAGCTCCAACAACACTCAAGAAGCTTGACACCATCCAGGACAAAGCAGCCCGCTTGATTGGCACTACATCCACAAGCATCTGACCCGAGGTATAGATAGAGTGGACAGCCAGAGACCTTTTCCTCGGGTGGAGGTAGCTATTACGAGGGGACATAATTTTAAAGTGCGTGGAGGTAGATATAGGGGAGACGTCAGAGGTAGGTTCTTTACTCAGAGTGGTAGGGGTGTGGAATGCATTGCCGGAGAGGGTAGTGGAGTCGGCCTCATTAGGGGCATTTAAGCGGCTATTAGATAGGCATATGGATGATAGTATAAGGTTGGGGTGGAGGTTAGATAGACCTTAGGTTTAGGGTAAAGGTTCGACACAACATCGTGGGCCGAAGGGCCCGTACTGTGCTGTACTATATTGTTCTATGTTCTATCCACTCCCTCCACTGACACTCAGTAGCAACAGTGTGTACTGTCTACAAGATGCACTGCAGAAATTCACCAAAGATCCTCAGACAGCACCTTCCAAACTGATGACTGCTTCCATCCAGAAGGACAAGGGCAGCAGACATATGGCAACACCACCCCCTGGAAGTTCCCCTCCGAGCCACTCGCTATCCTGATGTGGAAATATATCACTGTTCCTTCACTGTTGCTGGGTCAAAATCCTGGAATTCCCTCCCTAATGGCATTGTGGGTCTATGCACAGCAGGAGGACTGCAGCAGTTCAAGAAGGCAGCTCACCACCACCTTGTATTGTACACTATGTTCAGCATCATTCACAATGACTCAGACACTGAAGCAGTCCATGTTCAAATGCAGCATGACCTGGATAATATTCAAGCTTGGCTACCAAGCAAGTAACAGTTGAAAGTAGTGCCTTTACTGCCTTAAAGGATCAAGAAAGCAGACACTAGGGGACACCACCATCTGCAAGTTCCCTTCCAAGATGCATACCATCCTGACTTGGAACGATATTGTTGTTACTTTGTCTCTGGACTAAAATCGTGGAATCCCCTTACTACAGCACCATGATGTATCTGTGACACAGGAACTGTAATGCTTCAAGAAGCTATCTTGGCATCACCTTCTCAAGGGCAGTTGGAGATGGGCAGTAAATGTTACCCTTGAAAACAATGCTTGCATCCCATGAGCCAAAAAAAAATCAAGTACAGCAATGATTTAATGAGGCTGAAACACACACAGCCCTGTCACAATTGTGCATGTTAATGTTCTAACCTGCAGGTTTTTTTTTATTGTGCCAATTCAAGCTCCACCTTCTGTACCAGTTGGTTTCAGCCTCACTGAGCATGCAGTTGGCCTGAATAGTGCTATATCTGGGTGTCCATTTAAAAACCAGCTCACGCCAACACTGTACTCACTCACTTTAAAGCACCCTAAATCTGATCATCAGTTGCAGTCAGTTTGCTTAGGGTTTGGTCCAAAGTCTCGAATGGTTTATTGTTATTCAGGTTTATTATTAGTCTCTAATGAAACCAAACCGTTCATTTGTTTAAAGTGAACTTGGTGAAGGATTATCTGTAATGCAAACACATCTGCATGTGTCAGTAATTTTTTTAAGGTTTAACACACTTCCACCTGATGGAAAATTTTGATTAAAATTCTTCAGATCTAGCCTAAGATCATTAACTTTTCGGCAGTAAACATAATAAGGTTGAAATGTACAGTATTCCTTTTAACTCTGCCCATGAACTGTGACCAGGTGCACAATCCAGGATCTTGAATTTGTTTTTGGGAAAGAGGCTTTGAGGTGATATAATTGAAATGGAGACTGTCCAGGGCAATTCTGTCAAGTTAACTATGGAGTCTGTCTGAGAAAAAGAGACAAACGTGTTGGAGTTTTTGTGTTGTAGCATGGGCAGGGAGACCACACTAGCTGCAAAGGTGATCTGGAGAGCTGCAGCTGAAGAATCCTAATGCTTATTGTGTCTTTGCCACAGGGTGGTGAGTGGGTCAAGAGATGCTACACTCAGAGTGTGGGACATAGACACCGGCCGATGCCTGCATACGTTATTGGGACATGTAGCTGCAGTGAGATGTGTGCAGTACGACGGGAAGAGGGTTGTGAGTGGTGCCTATGATTACACAGTAAAGGTGTGGGATCCAGAAACTGAAGCTTGTGTGCACACTCTTCAGGGTCACACCAACAGGGTCTACTCACTTCAGGTAAATATAATGTTCTCTCAATATCTGTTTGTTCAATTCTGTTGATCACCATATATCAACCATACCTGCGTGCCAGTAATCTATTGGGTCAGCCACAAGCCTGTCTAGGGGCAATGCACAAAACCTTTTTAGAATTCATTAGAAGGACCATGTTGGGAGCCTGGGAAACAAGAGATTGAAGAAGCTAAGGAGCAATTGTTGGAGCATCTGATGGAGTGCAGACAGATTACTGGCCATAAAGAGCTCCTTTACTGTTCTACACCAGTGCTAATGTTAGGACACAGTAAAATTGTTTATCCGCTCTGTTTTGGAGTTCTTTAGGGTGGCATGGTGGCTCAGTGGTTAGCACTGTTACCTCACAGTACCAGGGACCTGGGTTCGATTCCACCCTCGGGCGACTGTCTGTGTGGAGTTTGCACGTGCTCCCCGTGTCTGCATGGGTTTCCTTCGGGTGCTCCAGTTTCCTCACACAGTCCAAAGATGTGCAGGTTAGGTGGATTGGCCATGCTAAATTGCCCGTAGTGTCGAGGGGTGTGTAAGTTAGGGGGATTAGCCATGGGAAATGCAGGGTTACAGGGAAAAGGGTAGGGGAATGGGTCTGGGTGGGATGCTGTTTGGAGGGTCGGTGCGGACTTGTTGGGCCAGTTGGCCTGTTTCCACACTGTAGGGATTCTATGACTTATCATGCATTCTCCAAACATTGTAACTTTAGAAATTTGCTATTTCCATGCTTATAATTTCCAAAACAGGATCTGACACCTGTTTGAAGTGAAAGTATCTCATGTAATTGTTTGGAAGAAACCCGAAGTACAAAATGTCAACTGATGTGTTAGTGAATAATGCTGTAGAACACAGCAGCTTGCTGATAGTATGTTGTAGAGGTTATTGTGCCCTAAATCTCCTGATATTCTGGCAGTCTGTCTCTCTCCCCTCTTGTTTGAGGTGGTAAAGTCTGTATATTCTGTTTTTGTTTTGCGCAGTATGATGGTGTCCACATTGTTAGTGGCTCCCTAGACACTTCGATACGAGTGTGGGATGCAGAAAATGGGAACTGTTTGCACACTTTAATGGGACACCAGTCTCTGACGAGTGGCATGGAACTGAAGGATAACATCCTGGTATCTGGGAATGCAGACTCCACAGTGAAAATCTGGGATATCAAGACGGGTCAATGTTTGCAGACTTTACAAGGTGAGATTGAGCGTTTGAATCAGTGTTCCATATGTTCAATGTGAGCGATAAGGACTGGCCAGTCTTCCCAGACAGACAGCTCTGGCTGATTCATTTTATCGTGCTTGTCCCTCTGGGCTGATGTCCGAATCACTGAACTGCATTCACCTTTGGAGAAGGAGGCCTTTTGACTGAGCTACCTGATACAGGAGTTTTGTGCACAGCATTAGAAACTTGCAGTTCATGTCCCACAAAAAATTTTATAAATGATGACTTTTGGCTAAAAAAATGAAACTTGATGCAATATCATAAATCCCAACTGATCCCCTAATGCTAATCTGAGGAGACCACCTGCCATCATTGTCCAGCCTGGTTTCTATTCTGCTGCTGTTTTATTCTGTGTTGGTTTGCAACCTTGAGGTGGGCAGCCACTATCACTGTTAATATGGCAAAGATCTGAAGAATAATTTAAAGGAATGAAAGATCTGTTTTGTGACTGTCAGCAGTAAATTCCGTCTTACAACAAAGCCACAGGCTGAAGTGATGGTCTGAAGCTGTGAATATCACTGCCACTGGGAGTGAAGCTGTTCACCATTCTGAGCTGCCTTGGTTGAACTGCACAGTTTCAAAGCTAGCTTCAGCTGCTGTTGAAGAGATCACCTAGTGAAGGAAAATAAGTGATGCACCTTGCACTCCACTCCTGAACACTGGTTTGATCTGGATGCGACAAGTAAATGGGCAATGCACTAGTAATCAGGAGAGTATAGGAAGCTGGAGAGCGTGATTTGTGACTTTGAGTTGAAGTAAATTATTGCATTTGCAGTCTCCTTGGTGTAATAAAAACCGTGTTCCCCTGTAGTGCAAGTATTACTGTAGGTAACATTTAGTCAGGCAGTTAGAGTTGGGGTTACAGAATGGCTGGATTGGCCTTCCGAATTCTCTGAAAGACTGTCAGTCTGACCTGAAAGAGAAACTCTGTGCTTCACGTTGGTCTAGGACGTATCCATTGATTTGGGACATATTACAGTACAGTACAAACCCCAACCCAAATAAAAAACATCTCACCAGAATGTTGACATTATCTACTGCCAAATAAAAACCAAGGGAACTGTGGATGCTGGAAATCAGAAACAAAAACTGATGTTGCTGGAAAAGCTCAGCAGGTCTGGCAGCATCTGTGAACAGAAATCAGAGTTGACGTATAGAGTCCGGTGACCCTTTCTCGGAACCGAGGAAGGGTCAGCAGACCTGAAATGTTAACTCTGATTTTTCTTCACAGATGCTGCCAGACCTGCTGAGCTTTTCCAGCAACTTCTGTTTTTATTATCTAATGCTAGTCTGGGGTGTCCCCCATACATCTCATGGGCTGACTCTCTTTATTTGGCAATAAAGTAGACGACTGTAAAATTCTGGCAGGTAAAGGCCAGAATGTATATATGGGGAAGCATTAATAATATGCAGCACAGTCATTTAACTAATTGCATTGTTTCAAGTTCCTAATGTTCACAAGTTGTACTTGAAAAACAAAGTTGTGTTGACAGTTCTGATAGGTCCCTTAATGGTGGTTTATTTACTGAAAATGCAACATGAGTAACTAAACCTTTAATATATTCACTCATCTTAGTAAACAACTAAACCAGTATAAGGATAATTAGAGAATTGCAGAATTGTACAGAACAAAAGGAGGCCATTTGACTCATTCTATCCGTACTAGCTCCTGAAAGAGCCACCCAGCTAGTCCCACTTTTCAGCCCTATCTTCATTGACCACTAACTTCATCACTTTCAAATATATATCCAGCTCTCTTTTGAAACCTCCCGAGGAATCCATCTCCACCACTCTCAAGCAGCGCTTTCCAAATCCTAACAACTCTCTCAGTAAAGACACTTCTCTTTATCTAACTCCTAGCCCTTGCTGACAATCCTGAAATTGTGACCCCTAGTTACTGACATACCAGCTAGTGCAAACAAAATATTCTTTGACAACTTAAAAGTTAGTAATGACAGTAAAACATTTTTAAATCCCTTCATGGGATGTGGATGTCACTGGCTGGGCCAGGATATATTGCTCATGGTTTTTGCCCTTGAGAAGGTTCTAGTGAGTTTCCGCCCTGACCTGCTGCTGCCCAATTACATAGAAAACAGGACCATGAATAGACTATTCATTCCTTCCAGTCACTCTTCCATTCAATATGATCGTGGCTGATCCTCCAACTCAGTATAGTTTCTACTTTCTCCCCTTATCATAGAGTGACACAGCATAGGAACCAACCCTTTAGTCCACCTCATCACGCACTACCCTCTGTGAGAAAAAGTTACCCCTCAACTCCTTTTTAAATCTTCCCCTCTTGCCTTAAACCTATTCCCTCTAGTTTCCTTTGACACCTTCAGCCCTTAGAACTATATCTAAGTGCTCCTTGACAACATTCAATATTTTGGCCTCAACTGCTTTCTGTGGCAGAGAATTCCACTGTGCCCACCACCAAATATAGAAAATAGCAGGGGGGTATTTTGGCCCCTCAAGCCTGCTCTGCCATTCATTATGATATTGGCTGATCATCAAGTTCAGTGCTGTAATCCCACTCTCCCCCATATCCCCTGATCCCTTCAGCCGCGAGAGCTATATCAGTCTCCTCCTTGAAAACGCGCACAAGGCTTTGGTCTCAATAGTTTTTGTAGTAGTGAATTCCATAGGCTCACCACACTTGGAATGAAAAAAATTCTCCTCATCTTAATCCTGAAAGGTTGTCCTTAAGACTGTGTCCCCGGTTCTGGACTCCTCTACATCAGGAACATCCTTCCTGCATCTAACCTGTCCAGTCCTTTTAGAATTTTATAGGATTCTGAGATGCCCCTTCATCCTTCTAAACTTCAGGGAATACAATCTCAAATGACTCCATCTGTTCTCATACATCAATCCTACCATCCCAGGGATTAATATGGTAAACTTTTGCTGCACTCCCTCTGTAGCAAGAACATATTTCCTCAGATAAGGAGACCAAACTTGCGCCATGTTTTTACGTTTGTACAGACTCTACCTTCTGATCTACTATAGACGTAATTGTAGGACATCTATTTAGGTAATGCTGCATACATTTTTACTTTGTAAGCTTGTATGTCCCTCTTCAGACACCACCACACTTCAGCACACTGTTCTCCCTGTGTCTACATGGGTTTCCAAAATGTGCAGGTTAGGTGGATTGGCCATGCTAAATTGCCTGTAGTGTTCAGGGATGTGTAGATTAGGTGGGCCTGGGTGGGATGCTCTGAGGGCGGTATGGACTTGTTGGGCTGAAGGGCTTGTTTCCACACTGTAGGGATTCTGTGATATGATATGAATTCACATCCGCCCTTTCTATCTCCATCTCTTCCCAACTCTGCCCCAACTCCTCCCTTCCCTGCCTGCCCTGCCCCAGTCTCACCCCTTTGACGAGTGAAACTGGATTTGTGTGGCAGCCTGTCTACCATACTGGAGATCAGCACAGCCTGAAATCCCAATGCACTGACTGCACAACATAGCCGAGCTCTACTGATGCACTTTCCACAAGATTAACTCCTCTGACTACACATCAGGGCAGAATGCCTGAGGCAACATGTCCTTGTGCTTGCATCTTCCCTAGCTGTGCACCCTGGATGGCTAAAAGATGACTGAAATATGAACCCAGTCCTTTTTGTATTTTGTTTCCCCGTTACAGGTCCAAACAAACACCAGAGTGCTGTTACATGCCTGCAGTTCATCCAGAAGTTTGTGGTCACCAGCTCCGATGACGGGACAGTGAAACTGTGGGACCTTAAAACTGGTGAATTCATTCGTAACCTGGTGGCACTTGAGAGTGGAGGCAGTGGTGGTGTGGTTTGGAGACTCAGAGCCTCCAAAACGAAACTCATTTGTGCAGTGGGCAGTCGGAATGGAACAGAGGAGACAAAACTGCTGGTCCTGGATTTTGATGTTGATATGAAATGAGCTGGTCTTGGCTGAGAGGTGTGTTGCCACTCGTGTCTGCTCACTCACTGGGCCTAGCATGGCCAGCAATCTGCAATCAAACTCCATGCAATCCATTCCAATTTGCCAAAGAAGACTTGACCTTGTGGGGAAAATCGGAGGGTGATCTGCAGCAGCAGTGGAACGGGGAAGGCAGGCGCTGCTTTTACAAACCTGCAGCACTTGACCAGCTGGGAGTGATTTGGGAAAGATTTAAAGCACCTTATAACTGAGCCATCACAGGGGCATCCATCTCTGATGATGACGAGACACTTGGAGACACTTTAAAAAGACTTGCCAAAATTGTTAGTAACAGAAACCTGTACATAAAATGGATATATCTGTATATTATATAAAAGTGTATCTATGTGGATGAATGAAATGAGCATCCTTAACTACATGTCTATATATTGAACTTGGGTAAAGGGGGAAAATTAATCTATACGTGCGTGTGTGTGTGTGTGTGTGAGAGGATGGTGCTAAACAGTCCTGTGTGCGTGTGCTAGTGTGTAAGGTTTTCACTGTCATGAGGCTACAAAGACAGCCCTGTTGTATATTGTATAAAATGTATGGGATTTTTTGGGGGGGGTGGGAACAACAGCATTAAGCTGTAAATGCTGAACTTTTTTTAAAAAAACAACAATAAAATGTTTGAAATACAGTGGTTTGTGCTCCAAGCTAGCCAAATAGAGTCACAGATGTACAGCATGGAAACAGACCTTTCGGTCCAACTCATCCATGTCGACCAGATATCCTAAATAAATCTTGTCCCATTTGCGAGCAGTTGGCCCATATCCCTCTAAACCCTGCCTATTCATGTACCCATCCAGATGCCTTTTAAATGTTTAATTGTACCAACTTCCTCTGGCAGATCATACGCACACCACCTGCTGCATGAAAAAGTCGCCCCTTAGGTCCCTTTTAAGTCTTTCCCCTCTCACCTTAAACCTATGACCTCTATAAGGTCACCCCTCAGCCTCCAAAGCTCCAGGGAAAATAACCCCAGCCTATTCAGCCTCTACCTGTAGCTCAAACCCTCCAACCTTTCCTCACTACATCCTTCCAATAGCAGGAAGACCAGTATTCCAAAAGTAGCCTAACTAATGCACTGTATAGCTGCACCATGACTCGCAACTCCTAGACTCAATGCAGTTACCAATAAAGGCAAGCATACCAACGCCGCTTTCACTGTCCTGTCTACCTGTGACTCCACTTTCAAGGAACTGTGAACCCTGCATTCCAAGGTCTCTTTGTTCAACAATGCTCCTCAGGACCTTACCATTAAGTGTATAAGTCCTGCTCTGATTTGCCTTTCCAAAATGCAGCACCTCACATTTATCTAAATTAATCTCCATTTGCCACTCCTCAGCCCAGTGACCCATCTGATCCAGATCCTGTTGTGCTCTGAGGTAACATTCTTTGCTGTCCATTACACCTCCAATTCTCATGTCATCTGCCAACTTACTAACCATACCTCCTATGTTCGCATCCAAATTTTTTGTACAATTGACAAAAAGTAGTGGAACCAGCGCCGATCCTTGTGGCACACTGCTGGTTACAGGTATCCAAATGGCTAGCTCTCCCTGTGTTCCCTGTGATCTAACCTTGCTAACCAGTCTACCATGAACCTTCTGAATGCTTTACTAAAGTCCATATAGATCACATCCATCATTCTGCCCTCATCAATCCACTTCGTTACTACTTCAACAACTCAGTCAAGTTAGTGAGACATGATTACCCACACACAAAGCCATGTTGACTATACCTAATCAGTCCTTGCATCAGGATTCTCTACAACAACTTGCACACCACTGGTGTCAGACTCACCGATCTATAGTTCCCTGGCTTTTGCTCACAGCTTTTCTTAAATAGTGGCACCACGTTAGCCAACCTCCAGTCTTCCGGCTCCTCACCTGTGGCTATCAATGATACAAATATCTCCAAATGGGGCCCAGAAATCACTTCCCTAGCTTCCCACAAAGTTCTAGGGTTCACCCAACCAGGTCCTGGGGATTTATCCACCTTTTTTTTTTAAGATGTCCAGTACCATCTCCTCTGTAATATGGACATTTTCAAGATGTCACTATTTCCCCACATTCTCTATCTTCCATATCCTTCTCCACAGTAAGCAGTGATGCAAAATACTCGTTTAGTATCTTCCCCCATCTGCTGCAGTTCCATGCATAGGCAACCTTAGAACGTAGAACAGTACAGGCCCTTCGGCCCACAATGTTGTGCCGACCTATTATCCTACTGAGATCAATCTACCCTGCATACCCTACATTTTACTATCCTCCATCTGCCTATCCAAGAGTCACTGAAAAGTCTCTAAAGTATCTGACTCCACTACCGCTGCCGGCAGCGCATTCCACACCCCCACCACTCTCTGTGTAAAGAACCTACCTCTGACATCTCCCCTATACCTTCCTCCAATCACCTTAAAATCAGTAATAGTAATTTCCACCCTGGGGGATTATCCACTCTATCTGTGTCTCATCATCTTGTTAATTCTATCAAGTCACCTCTCATCCTTCGTCACTCCAATGAAAAAAGCCCTAGCTCCCTCCACCTGTCCTCCAGTCCAGGCAGCATCCTGGTAAATCTCCTCTGCACCTAAAGCTGCACCATCTTTCCTATAATGAGGTGACCAGAACTGAACACACTATTCCAAGTGTGGTCTAACCAGAGTTTTATAGAGTTGCAGCATAACCTCATAGCTGTTAAACTCAATTCCCCTGCCAATGAAAGCCAACACACCATACGCCTTCTTTACAATCCTATTAGCTTGGGTAGCAACTTTGAGGGAGCCTTGCAGATCGTTAAGGGACCCTATTCTCTCCGTAGTTACCCTTTTGTCCTTAACATATTTGTCGAATCCCCTTAGATTCTCCTTCACTATATTTGCCAATGCTATCTTATGCCCTCCTGATTTCCCTCTTAAGTATATTCCTACTGCCTTTATACTCTTCTGGGGATGCACTCGATCTCTGCTGTCTATACATGACATATGCTTCCTTCTTTTTCTTGACCAAAACCTCAATTTCTCTAGCCATCCACCATTTCCTACACCTAACATCCATGCTGTTCACCCTAAGGGGAACATACTGTCTCTGGACTCTCATCATCTCATTTTTGATGGCTTCCCATTTTCCAGCTATCCCTTTGCCTGTAAACATCTGCCCCCAATCAATGTTTAGAAGTTCTTGCCTAATACCATCAAAATCAGCCTTCGTCCAATTTAGAACTTTAATTTTTAGATCTGGTCTTTCCTTTTTCATCACTATTTTAAAACTAATAGAATAATGGTTACTGGCCCCAAAGTGCTCCCCCACTGACACCTCACTCACCTGCCCTGCCATATTTCCCAAGACCAGGTCAGGTTTTGCACCTTCTCTAGTAGGCACATCCACATACTGAAACAGAAAATTTTCTCATACACGCTTAACAAAGTCCTCTCCATCCAAGCCCTTAACACTATGGCAGTTCCAGTCTATGTATATATCTATGAATCCCCTACCATGTTCCTGTAAGGCTTCTTGCATTGAAATTAATGCAGTTTAATTTTTCAGTCCTACCTCATTCTCTGCTTTATTCCTGCCTACCCTGTTTGACTTACTCCTTTTCCCAACTGTACCAGTCTCAGACTGATCCCTTTCCTCACTATCTCCCTGGGTCCCACCCACTCATTACTAGTTTAAATCCTCCCAAGCAGTTCTAGCAAATCTCCCTGCCAGTATATTAGTTCCCTTCCGATTCAGGTGCAATCTGTCCTCCTTATACAGGTCACTTTTATCCCAGGAGAGATCCCAATGATCTGAAAAGGTGAATCCATCTCCCCTGCACCAGTTCCTCAGCCACGCATTCATCTGCTCTATTCTCCTATTCCAACCCTCACTAGCTCATGGCACTGGGAGTGTTCCAGATATTACTACCCTCAGGACCTCTTTTTTTAAATCCCTACCTAATTTTCTATATTCTGTCCTCAGAATCTCATCCTTTTCTCTTCCTATGTCATTAGTTCCAATGTGTACAATGACCTCCTGCTTGTCCCCCTCCCCTTTGAGAATATTCTGCACCCTCTCCGAGATATCCTTGATCCTGGCACCAGGGAGGCAACACACCATTTTGATGTCTCGCTGTTAGCCACAGAAACATCTGTCTGTGCCTCTGACTAGAGAGTCCCCTATCACAATCAATCGCTTTGAACCTGGAGTACCCCTCATTACATTAGAGCCAATCTCGGTACCAGAAACCTGGCTGTCAGTGCTACATTCCCCTGTGGGTCCATCTCCCCCTACATTTTCCAAGTAGCTGTGGGAGTCAGTGGGTTTGTAGTGGAAAACTGACTCCCACAGTTCCCTGGACTATACATCCTCACACCCCACTTCCTGTAAAGATTCCATCCCATTCTCCCAGTTCCTCCGTCTCTGTCGTACATGGTGCATCACCTGCCCATTTACCTCCTCCCTCCCCAGTATCCAAGGGCCCAAACATACTTTCCAGGTGAAGTAACACTTCTACATGTACGTTCTGCTCACAAAAAAGACCCTGAACTACCTGTTGCCTGCCACTTTTAACACACCACCCTGTTCCCTGCCCAACATCTCTGTCTCTGGCTTGCTGCAGTGTTCCAACGGAGCTCAATGCAAGCTGGAAGAACAACACCTCACTTTCCGCTTGGGGACCCTGCAGCCCTCCAGACTCCATATCGAGTTCAATAATTTTAGGGCCTAAACTCTCCCATGTCCCAGCTCCCTACCCCACACACCAGGACTTGTTACCACATAGTTGCCATTACACACTACCTATTGTCAGTCACTAATAGTTCCCATTAACAACTATTTGCCCTCCCAGCCTGATCGTTATCAACTCCTTTGTGTATCCAACTGCTCTTCTCTCTCTTTGGGCTCTATCCTATCGTTTACTCCGTACTCCATACCCCGCCCCTTTTTTCTGCACATAAACTGACATTTTCCCAGCCACCATCAGTTCTGAGGAAGGGTCACCGGACCCGAAACATTAACTCTGATTCTTCCTTCACAGATGCTGCCAGACCTGCTGGGCCTTTCCAGCAACTTTGTTTTTGCCTCTTATGAAAAAGGCCAACTTACTATTTGTCTTTCTAATCACCTGCCTGCATGCTAACTTTTTGAGTTCTTTCTTTGAGCACCCTCAACTCCCTTCAACATCTCAGGTGAAATTGACCTCACACGTACATTATACTTCATCTGGTATTAATTGCTACAAGTTTAATCTTTCTAAACTTTGGTGAGGAGAACTTAGAGGCTGCACTTACGTTTTGCCTGGATTTCTATTGTCAGTAAATTTTGATGCATTGGTCTCTCAGTCATTAATATAGCTGGTAAATAGCGACAAACTCCCAGCAGTAATCCTTGCAACCTGTCACTAACTGCAGCCTGCAAGTGTAAATGCTGCATTACCCACTGCTGTTTATTTCCTGACTATTCCCCACTTCTGCATTTAGGCTAATACAACACCAATTCTTTGAAGCCTAATCTTGTGTATTAATCTTTTGTGTGTCATTGTATCAAATGCTTTTTTGAAAATCTGATTATTTTACATCAACTGTCCAGCTAGTCATAGAGTCACAGAATGAGAGGCCTTTTGGCCCATCAAGTTAGTGCTCACCTATCTATTCTAGTCCCACTTTCCACCTCATGCCCCATAGCCTTAAATGTTATGACATTTCAGGTGCTCATCCAAGTACCTTCTAAAGGTTGTGAGGTTTCCCACTTCAATGACCCTCCCAGCAGTGCATTCCAGACTCTCACTGCCCTCTGGGTGAAAACAAAAAGGCTTTCCTCAAATACCTCTAAACTTCCTGCCTTTCACTTGAAAATTATGGCCCCTTGTTATTGATCAAGGAGCTGATGTTGAACTTGTTCAAGGCACTTGTTAGACCTGAGCTGAAGGATTGTGTATGGTTGTGGGCACCACATTATAGGAAAGGTATAAACACATTGGAGAGAGAGTGCACAGGTGGTTAACAAGAATGTGTCGAGGAATGAGAAACCTCAGCTCTGAGGGCAGATTGAAGAAGTCGTGACTGTTTTCTTTGGAGAGGAGGTTAAGAGGCGACCTGATTAAGATTTTCAAAATCATGAGCAGCGTGGAGAAAGCAGATAAGGAGAAGCTGTTCCTGCTCATAAAAGTGACAAAAATGACAGAGGCAGAGAGTTAAAGTTATGTGCAATGAGGTTGCTGACTTGCTCGACGAGCTGGTTTGTTTTTGTTCAGAAGTTTCGTCACCATTCGAGGTGACATCATTAGTGGAACCTCCTAGACAGCGATGTTATTCTGCTCTGCTTGGAATTTATACTGTCTGGTCCGTTATGGTGCGTACTATCATTTCCGGATTTGATCTGTGTGTGTTTGTATATGGGATTCAATTCTATGTGTTGTTGATTGTATTACGGGTGGAGAACCATGCCTCTAGGAATTCCCGTGCATGTCTATGTTTCGCTTGGGCTACAATGGTTACCTTGTTCCAGTTAAACTGATGGCCTTCATTGTCTGAGTGTACCGATATTAAGGAAAGGCCGTCGTGCCGTTTTGCTGCTAGTTGATGTTCACGTATTCTGATGTGCAATACAGGCAAGGGTGTTGTGAGCAAAAGATTTTTCAGCAGGTTTTTGGAGTTTGGAATGGACAGCCTGGAACAGTGCAGGCATGCTCAATTGAGTCATTCAAGAGGGGAACTGGATACCAGAGGGTCAATACTAAGGCCGCACTGTCTGAGGGTCAGTGCTGAGGGAGTGCCGCACTGTTGGAGGTTCAGTGCTGAGGGAGCGCCACACTGTCGGAGGGTCAGTGCTGAGGGAGCGCCGCACTGTCGGAGGGTCAGTGCTGAGGGAGCGCCGCACTGTCTGAGGGTCAGTACTGAGGGAGTGCCGCACTGTCGGAGGGTCAGTGCTGAGGGAGGGGGCACTGTCGGAGGGTCAGTGCTGAGGGAGCGCCGCACTGTCGGACGGTCAGCGCTGAGGGAGCGCCGCACTGTGGGAGGGTCAGCGCTGAGGGAGCGCCGCACTGTGGGAGGGTCAGCGCTGAGGGAGCGCCGCACTGTGGGAGGGTCAGTGCTGAGGGAGCGCC